CAGTCTGGCATCAGATATGTGTTATATATATATATATATATATATATATATATATATTTCATCAAAAATCGTCGATCTACCCTCACTTGGTCACTGGCGATTACAAGCCAGCCTAGAAACTTTCCGTAGGTTCTTTTTTTGCGCTCGTCTCAAGAACAAGCTCCGTTTTAGTCTCATATTCAACAGCAATCACCTCTATTTGCTCTTGTTTATTTCTGTTATTGGTTAAAATACATCGACCGGGACCTTACAGTGTTGCGCACATTACTTCTGCAGGATTCTATGATAGTTATTCACGTCTTGTGCATGATATTGGTCAACGTATGATACGCTTCTTTTGCTTTTCAGACCAAAGAATGAGTTTTATCAATTCTGTACTGCAGTTTAACCCCCAGAATCTAAAACCTACGCTGGTGGACGTGAGAAACATAGATGGAACGGTTACAGTCACGGACAAGTATGGAACTGTGCTGAGAGATAGACAAGTTGAAAATTCCGAGCCAAATTTTTCCCAATATGGGTACATAATGAACCCTAATCCGGATTTGCAGATAGGATGTATTAATCTTGATGAATTTCGCATTTTGTTCGGTAAGGTTTTTTAATTTTCTATCAACTGGTAAAATTCCACAGGTTCTGCCGATGTTGCCGGTGATCTAAACTGTTTAAAATCGAACGGAATCACGCACATAATAAATCTTGTGTCAAGTTTTGTGCCCAATTCATTTCCGAATGATTTTGAATATTTATCTCTAGTATTGTATGACGATATGCAGTTTAGATTGCGCGATTCTATCTACCAGTGTATTGATTTTCTTCGCAAAGTCAAGAGAAAAAAGGGAACTTGTTTCATACACTGCGACGCAGGTCGTTGTCGTGCACCATCTATGGTCATAGCCTATTTGATAAAGGAGCATGAGTATTCTTACGAACGTGCTTACAACGAAGTGAACAATGCTCGCAACGTTGCCATTAACCTCAACTTCAGGGCCCAACTAATGGCTCTAGCGTAACTGAACAACACATTTACATTTTTGCCTTACCGTTTTTCTGCTATCCGTATCGGAATGTCTTCCTCACCATTGTCTTTCTCCACCGTCATTTTTATGCTTGATTTAGACAACGTTATTTTCATCTTCATTTGTTTACAAATGCATGTTTCGCTTGACGTGAACTTCTAAAAGGCAACCGCTGGGTGGTCAGGCACTCTTGGATTGAGTGGTGAGTAGACGATGGCGAGTGAAAAACAAAGCATGTTAGATGTCAGAAGACGTGTGCGAAAAAAAAACTCGATTTCTCCTTTCCCGAGCCGATTAATTAGTTCTTTTATCGCTGTATCTGTAAAGATTGATGTTATATATATATATATATATATATCCCGTTCTGTAAAAGTGTAAAACTTAAAAGATGCGCCAGCTTGTTAACGAATAATTGTTGTGTGGATTCGGAATTACTCTGTCCGTTTGTCTAGTTGGGAGAAGTCAGAAGAACCAAATCAGCTGTGTTGGTATTGCGCACCAAGTTTATTTACGTTCATTCAGCTGTTCACATACATCTATATGGTTACGTCGTAAAGAAAATCCATGTAGATCATAGTTAAATATTGTTTTGAGGGATTGGGTAACAGTCGGACAATCACTAGGGAAAGGTATTAGGGAAATCGGAACATAGATTCCCTTTCAGCGAGTGTCAAATAGATCTCGTTTCCTTCCTCGATTTGTTTGGCACTCGCTGAAAGGAACAATCCATATTTCAGATTTATCAGTTACCTTCTTGCAGTAATTTTCTGACTGTTACGCAATGTTCAACGTTTGACTTTGATCTACATGGGTTTTCTATATGCTGTAATCATATCAATATACGTGAACAGCTAAATAAAATACGCGACATTGATGGATAGTTTGAATAATGAAATCAGAAACATGGGTTTGCACAATGTATCCATGGTCATTTCGCTGCATCTGTACACGTGCATACTGCAGTCAAAGTCATTTTATATAGTCAGTGGGATAACTACTATGAGATGAAGACATGATTGCTAATCACAACGCACGTCGATCAAATAGGTTTTCCCCATCTTCCTTCATACCGCACACTTTCATCGAGCGCGTGAACTATGTTCAGAGGACTCTTTAAACGACGAAATTCACCTCTTAAAAGAAGTTCTGTACGCAAACGGATTTCCAGTTGCATTCATCATCAAACATTTCAAAGCAGCACCAAAAGTTATCAGACAAAGACGATCACGTGATGGAATTAGTCAGCAAGCAGTTGAACTCTGCCGTCAAGCGTGTCTGCTACGCAGTCGACCACTACCACCCGGATACCATCGACATCGGTGAAAGAACCATTGCCCCCCCCCTCCGCCAAATCAAACGGCATTTAACAATTCAAGTGTGGATGCTCAGCCATCTACATAGGCAGGACAGAGGCAGTTACGTCACCGAATGGCCAAACACATCCCGGTGTGGCTTAGGAAAGCGATGGACGACAAGTTCAAAACTGCTACGTCATCGAATGAGCAGAAAATACTAAGATCTTCGATAACACAACACTTATTCGAACAAAAACACTGTGTCACTCCAACTCACATATGTCAGGCTATCTACAACACAACAAACACAAAGCTACTTAAATTTTCCGAGGCTCCAGCCATTCGTACCCTCAAACCTGATCTATGCAAACAACGTGACTGGTTAGCTCACATTCGCTTTGCCTTGGTGATTACCCCCCACCACCATCATCTCCCGTTCTTTGTGTTACTGTGTCGTGTTGTGCGTTGTGATAGGCAATCATGTCTTCATCTCATATTAGTTATCCCACTGACTATATAAAAATGACTTTGACTGCAGCATGCACGTGTACAGATGCAGCGAAATGACCATGGATACATTGTGCAAACCCATGTTTCTGACTTCGTTATTCAAACTGGTGACGGGAGATCATTGCTTTCATTGATGGCTAGTACCGATTCTGTTTAGGTCTTTCTTTCTTTCTTTTCATGTGGATTCCTCATGAACACTTGCCTCGCAAAACGGTAGTTAGACCACTTCAAATGGGTTACTCATTGTTCACCCCCAACACGGAACTTATTCAAAAGTAATCGTTCTTAATAGTGATCCTTCATCTCAAAGATAGTGCTTCTGGGACTATTTAAATGCGGGATCAAATCATTATTTGCAAATCATGGATCATTTTGCTTTTGTATCGTGCACAGCCTGGCCACAGATGTGTGTAACATATACATATATATCAAATCAAATCAAATTTTTGATTTTAATTTTAGTGTCGAGGGTGATCGAACTTTTCATATAAGCGGGGTCTAATAACAGGATTACTTTTCCTACTGATTTGTCAGCTGAAAGTTAGGGTTTTGTACGAAACCCAAGGAAGATCTGGTTTGACCAATGTCGAATTGAAGCGTTCTGTCTGGATTATTGTTCATGGATTTCTGAATGCGCTTGAAAGATGCATACCTATCAATCAGATCAACTTTTTAACCGATGTTGGTTACGTGGGTCGTATGTAAGTTTTTGCCAGTGTCAGTTTGCAGTACAGGATATCAGGCTGTGAATGAACTCAACAACAGTAACCATTTTCCTTCGAAGTATAAATTCGTTGGGCAAGACTTGTGGTATATACAGTCGACGTATTCTGTGGACTAAGATCTGCACTGATTATCTTTGTACTGTCCAATCGGCATTTTAGTATCCAGACATTTTAGTTGGTTGTTTGACAATCAATTAAGCAGTAAATCAAGGGATGGTAGTTTACACTCAGACATCAGGGTGCAGATTACAAAATGATTTCTTAGCATCTTTCCGCAAAATAGCTGACACGCAGCCAGGGTTTCAATGATGTCCATCGACCACACTGCAAACTTGTTCCAAAAACTTGGGTCTTCGCGGCAGAAAACTACCCTATAGTGCGAATTCCTGGCACTTGTTAGACCCTGGTCCCCAAACATACACATCCAGAACGTATCGTGAACTTAGATAATCTAGAAATCTACGGATTTCGTGACTTACGGAATCGATGATAACTTATTGTTTATAATCGAAACTGTCCTGTGAAGACATTTTGGATGCGGACCGCCAATTACCCGTACCTTTGTATTCAATCCGTCTTTGCTTTTCAAGTGAAGGTAGTCTTTCTTTGCCCAAGAAGGTAAAGTTTCAGCACTTTTGACTAGGTGTAGGGAAGTACAGAAAACGATTGAAATTCGACGAAACATTTACATTGAATAGAAAAAGGTATCAGGCTTCCAGCCCGGGCGGGCTTTCCTCATCGGGTTTTAATGATGGAGGTTTAGTCTTGGCTTTGAAGTTAACGAAACTCCTGGGCTCACTGTGGGAGAAGGAACAGGTTTCATCTGACTGGGCTATCAGGACGATACTGCATATTGACGTGGTTTGATGACCTGTGCGTCTCTCTCACCCAACGAGCTACACAAAATGGTTTTTGTCAAGCCGAAGATCTGATCAGGTCTGGAAAGCCGAAAGGTAGAGGTCAGACGAAATCCAGTCTCCTGGTCCTCCAGGTTCGGGGTTCGACTAGAATTTGCGTTTCAGTCGGTAAAAGATGGAGAAGTAATCAATGGTAGTGGCGCAGTGGTTTGGTCGCTGGCGCCGGCTTACTTAGGACCCTATTGTGATGGGAGATGGTACAAAGAGAGCCCCGGCTAGCGAACGGATCAAGAATAGGGCCCATCCAAGACGCAGACGTAGCGGCTGGAATTACTTCGCGAGACAATGTCGACTACCATCCGAAACGAACGAATCGACAGTTACAGCCCGCCGGACAATCCGCATCTAAACAGTAAGATATCCACCGACTACCACAACGTCGGAGCTGTCAACTAACGTATCTCGCACGATCGGGTCAAACCAGTCGGAACGGCAGACGGAAGTAGAGGCAACGCAGGTGCAAAGTGCGGACCAAAACCAACAGAATGAGGCATGAATCATCCTGCCACGCGATTAGGAATTGATTGTATATAATTGAACGCATACATCAGTTGTTTTTGAATTGAATCAATAAACGTTTTGCTTGCCAACTCGCCTTCTCGTTACACTATTGTCCGAGGTTCAAACCTCGCCACCGCCACCCAACTTTGGTGGTAGGTAGCTTTGCTGTCGTACGGTTCAATACCACGTCCAACCTATCAGGGCTTTATGTGGTTCGCTACTCCAATTCCCGGGGATTAGGTTACCGGTTTCCATCACTGAACAGCAGGTCCTCGTGACTCTGGGGCTTCCCCGTCTGGTGTTCATTACACTAAGGTGTGTAAAATAAACAAGAAAGGGAACCATAATAATGCGATGAGTGGTTAATCGGGTCTATAGTGGCAGATGTTCGACCTAGTAAAACAAGCAAGATGGGTGAGTGATCCTACTTCATCAAATAATAGTGTGTGCTGGGAATTACGTTTACGAAAACGGTTTTCAAAAGCAAAAAGACAGCATGGAAACCGAGCATTGAGGTTTTTAACCTGTTCGGTCCAGGGAAAGTTGTTTATTAAAATGATCTGGGGTATTTCAGGAAGTCAGCTTTGAGAATAGGGAAAATGTTGCACCCCGAAAATATGGGTTTAATTCCAACGAGAATGAAGGGCTATAGTTATGAAAAGTGAATTGTATCCCGTGAAAGAGGTAGCTGATAAGAACATTCAAAAGATGCTGACTGAGAATGTCACGGTCAATTGAGCCAAAAGTAGCACCATTATTTAGGAAAATTGAACAAAGTGCCAGATCCTTTATCTAAAGGGGAAACTACAGATTGACGGATGTGTGGGCGGTGGTGGCCGAGTGATAACATCACCAAATTATTGCTTCCGAGGAAGTGTGTTCGAATCCTACCACCATCACATATGTTTCCCCAATCTGAATTTTATGGCGGCCCTTTGGTTGTCCGTCTTCTCCTTCCTTAAAAGTGTACCATTACATAATGAATAAAAGGATGCAAAGTGAAAAATAATGTAACAGGAACCATCTTGCGATTTCAATCTGCATCCGGGAATTAGCTTTTGCGTGCGCCACAGAGCTGCTTCAATGACGACCACGTACCATGGCGGTCGTTGTTTAGAGTAGATGCAAAATGCATCCAATTCACGCGCTAAATCTTCTTGATTGAATCTAATACTTATTTCACGTGAATTCATCTGCTAGTTGTATTAACCTTTCCCCCATTAGGACGAAGTCCTGCTGGTAGGTGAGGATATGTCAGTCTTAACGGTCAAACACAAACCAAAGTCAAGATTATCGAATTTTGTAATCCATTTGGTGGTCTATCTTGTGTCTCAATGAAACCTAGTTAGATAACGGGAATGTCCATTGCTTTAAATGAGTGAATGGTTTGTTGTTTTATTTTTTACTATTACTTGATTTCATAAATGTGCGTTTGCAGGCGAATGAGTGCACGCAAAATCGATTGTAAATGTATGGTTTATCAAATCGGTGAACGTAAAAAGTTAATTGTAGTACTGACTTTACCGTAACTCTACTTCAATCGAATTAGGTTTGAAGTAACTAGTTTAATGTTTCGTCATCGTGCGAACTCTTAAAACAGAAAGTCTAACTGCAGTAGTACCTGCTGATAGTTAATGTACGCATGCTAAACGGAGACCATTAAATGGTATGGTTACAATTGGTCGTTTAAAAACCAAGTGACACAGTGAAGCAGGTGATAGATACTACCCTAAAACGAGACGGGGGAAATGGTAACGAACACGACACATGATGTTCCTTCAGTTAAAGTGGCCATCGACCTTATGCGAGTGGTGTCTAGATGTTGAAGCCATTTGGAAGTCTAGGACGAATCAGCTTTCGGACTGTGTTCTTCATTTAACCTATTTCTTCACTGATAAGGTGGATCGTTTCTTATACTCTCCGTCAGTGAAATAGATCAAACCAGAGGGTTCAAATCTTTTACAGCGATCAATGTAGATGTCATTCCAAATAAACGGATTCTCTCAATGTAAACATTGACACTCGGTTGTCTAATAATCAGAGCTTTGCGTTAGAGCTGTCTCCGACACGTTTAGTTGTTTGTTCGTTCCTCATGATCGAAATTCCGATAAAAGACAGATCAGCAATGTACGGATTTCTACTATTTGCAACTGTACATGTGTGTTTCCGTTTATCGATGCACATCGTACTACTTGCCTTTTCCAATCACAGTTTGACACCACTGACTTACACTACGGAATTCATCACATCTATCCGAGATTTCATTAAATTGACAAGCGATGTAAAAGTCACATGATGTAATAGTGATATAGTTGATCGGCAGGTCTCACGGAAGCAACAGTAGCCAAGAAAAGCAATTTGCACCTGTGGTCGGGTATGGATTCGGTCGATAGGAATGAATAAATTTTGTGTGAGGCAAACAAAGGAACAAAAAGTTTGAAAGAGAAAGAGTGATGAATGAGCAAGGCGATGAAATCGAGGTTTAATATATGCGTGATTGCACTGATCTAGTGGCCTTGATAGGATACGCAAGGAAGGATGAGAGAGAATGAGTTCAAAGTTCACCAGAAAATCTCCAAATTAAATACGTTACTGAAAATTCGTTTGCTATTGGAAAGACTTGTCTTTATCTCCTTTTCCGATTTGGCGATTTAAGCGAAAAATCCCCAGAGACAGGCCACAGCAACAAGCAGAACAACAGCGGAGATCTCATTGAAAATCACCCATTTAGGCTCTTCATCAATGCTTAAAGTGAGCTCCTCAATCACTGTGTCGTTTTCCGTGGTCGGAGTTGTCTCGATGCCGCAAATCCAGTAAGCTATACGTTTGTACCAGGGGTATTTCGTTGGTGTTACTTCCGGTGCTATCGTCTCGTCTGATAAATGAAAAAGAGGTAATCAGAGTTATCATCGATACTTTAAGATCATGATCTTTCATTTCAATTTTTATCCTTCATAGAATCTGTCAGCTAGGAGCATTCTTATACATAAATTACTCGCTTGCACAATCGATACCTTAGCACATGATGTCAGCGGTTCTTGTAGCAGTGAAATTATTTGACACACGTGGCACTGAAGGGCAATCGATGAACTATACAAAAAAATACGTTGGACTCTAGGTCACTAGCTCCGTGATCTTACCCCAAGAGGGATTATCAGTCCTTCGGTTAACACTTCTAAACCTTCACCTCATTTTATCGACTGGCCGTGCTCAGCAGTCTTCGTGAGGAACTCAGTTACAAAGAGCTTTGCGTTTCGGAAAACCTCATGATGAGATGATGATGATACAGCACAGGAAGTGAACCGTTTGATCCCAGACGCTTCTTTCTGGAAACAGGTCGAGTTCACTGGTACAGATATATATATATATATATATATATATATATATATATATAT